CACAGCGTATACTTCAGCGGAATATCAAAACAACGGCCCGGGGTGCAAAACGCATGAGAGGTGAGTTTTGGTCAATGTTTTGAAGGTGGGGAGGTCAGTGCATTGCATTATCCCAACATGTTGTATTTTGACTCAATTGTACTCGCTGATACTTCAGTACCTTGTTAGTTTTCGTCCATCAATCGTTCCAGAATATAAAAAAATGTGACGTGGACTTGAATTCAATTGCTCTTCCCCTGGGATCCATACAAGTGGCTGCAGGGCCTCAGAGCAGCACTCAGCCAGAGCCTTTCACCACCCGGTCTCCATGTGGTACAATAATGGCGAGATGAATCATTGGCAAAGGCACACACACACATTCACTGAACCCGTTGCTAACACCTTTTGGGTCTAGACATGCATGCTAGGTGCTGAAAGGTGAGAGCAGGCAGCGAGGTGATTGGTGGCAATGACCACAGAAATGAGGTTCACACAGGAAGAGGATTGGTTGCTATGACACTGAGTGAGAGCAAACTGGCTTTTCTATTCTTTCAAAACGTCTTTTTTGTGTGTTTTCTCCCATGTTGGAGTCTGCAGGGATTCCTCCGTCAATCTTCACCTTCTTTCGACAGACTCAATGAGGCAACGTTTACATTGACAGGTTTGTATGCCACTTTATTGAGCTGACAGTATCATTAAATTGATGACTGTGCCCACACGTTGAGTTAGAAGGAGTATTTAGAAGTGAAACCACTAGTGTGGAGCACTTGACTCTGTTCTGTCATCTATTTATCTAATGACTCGTTCACAGTTTAGACAGTGGGATAGATTCTGTCCACTCCTGTATGCCTAAAAAAGCACGATGCTGCCATAACCCTAATCATCTAATTGCCCCTGCCCTGCCTCATTAGAAAACAAGGCTAACTGGAAAATCACCTTAAGTGGGATAAATTAATGAGGCCTTCACATTTGATGCTGAGTCATCAGAGCGCTGAGTCAGGGCTACGTCACTACAAAGCAAACGGAGAGACTGACGCAGACTCTGACCATCACTAGACATGTGGAACTATTTGGTTATTTGGTACTGTTATGAGAAGCCTTGCATTTGTACGGTACAACGTTTAAATACATGTTTACAGCATGATCGCACGACTTCATGCTAAGCTAAAGGCGGCTAATGTTTGGCATGAGGATGTTTAGTAGTCTCTTGTTAGCTACGGCTGTTTTTTTTATGATGCATAAATCATTTGCACATTCACTAGTGCTGTATTTACTGACACATTTGATCTTGACCTTATGTTTTATTTGAGGTATTTTACCAACAACTCATTCAAAAAACGGTTGAAATCAAATTAAGGAGACCAGAAGTGGTAACATGTTGACTAATCTCAGGTTTTTAGGACTCATTACTGCACCACCCCCATTTCTGACTACTTTATTTGCCTTAAAGTAAAAAAAAGTGTTACTTTCTTGATACAGTGATGCAAACACAGGTATGGTGAAAAAAGAGAACTATTCGAAGCAGAAAAAAAACCATAATATACCATCTGACAATGACAGATTTTTCTTTCTGGATATTTTACAAATCACTCCTCTATTCTTGTTATTTTTAACAACTTTTTTTTGTTACTGTCATATAGTATTTTATACCTGTTTTTCATTTAGTCTCTAATGTCTCATTAATAACTATAATGATCATATCAAGGTGTGCCTTAACCTCACTGAGCTGAGGTTATTTGAGCCTCTCAGGAGAGAGCTCTCTTCCACCTGGTTGTAGAAAAGCTCTTTAAATTCGTTAGCATAGCTAGCTAACCAGATGCTAATAACAACAGATCGCCACTGTGCTTACAACTAAAGGCACAGCCTCGCAAACACTGCGGCATGTGTACGGCTCCTTATGGGTACTGCAATATTTGAAGAGCTGGAGCGGCGTTCCGATGCTCTCCGTTACTCCTTTCAGACGAGACATAACCACGTGAAGACCTATGGTGAAGACACGTTACGCTCGTGTTGTGTTCAATGAACCTGTCCTTGGCCAGGAAAAACAGGCACTCGCTTCTTCTATGAGTCGTCGAGGCATGCATTGACACTTAGAACTCGGTATGCCGTCGTCTACTAGAGACTGACAATATAAGTTGGTTCTTGTACTGATGCATAACTCACGGACGTGCGGTCAGAAATCAGTCGTGAGCAAGGTTACGCTGTACGTAAACGAGAACTTAGATCTAGTATACTCAAATACTCTGTGTACGGAGTGTGGCAACATTGCGGAGAAGCGCTCTTCCTATGTCGCCGATCTGTCTATCCCATCTCACTCCGATCGAGCTAACCACTCTCGCCGTTGACGTGTGCTCGTTACCTTTCAGTGTCGAACTCTCACACGTACGACTCAGTTGTAGACACAGTAACGTTTCATTGCCCTCTCTGTCGCGCTATACGTACGTATGTGTGAACAAATCATCAGTAACGATTAAGACGCTAGTTGGAGAGGTTAATATAAGCTCCACGTCCCATAGAATCACTTCACACGTATATGTTCCGATCTCTCTCCCATATTCCCAGTTGTATGACATACGCTCCAGGCCTGTAGGTGTTTCGCGCTCATATCTGCTATGCCTCTCCTATTGAACAGGTTAACTAAACATAGTTCCCCCATCTCTGTAACAGTAACTGTAATAACTACTCAATTTGTTACTACCTAGCTCGAGATTACACCGTTTCTGTACATCTGAACTGTCTCTAACTAATATACGCGCTCTACTAATTAGGTTACTGTGTATGTATAGGTGTGTGGAAAGTCGAACCTCCGCGGATAATAGGCGAGAAACCCCAGAAAGGAAAGAAAATATCCAAACACACGTTCGATTTACCAGCGTCCGGATTGTACGCGCGGTTTGTTCAGTCGATGAGGGTGTTCCCGGTCAAAGATCTTTCTTCATTCTGCCGAAAAACTTTATTATTTTGTACATCTCGTTACACTCGTCTATTCAATACCGTGGCAATTAGCTATTGTAAGACTTGGCGACTATTACTCGTTAATTAAATTCCCGGTAAAAGTTATTCTATAACAACCCCGTGAAAGAAGAGGAGTTATTTCATCGACTGAAGTCACGCTCGTTGGAAAAATTCACATCGGAGATAGAGACCCGTGTATAGATTAAATAAACTAGTATTGAGAAGGGACGAAAACGATTTAAACGCTCTCCGTTGTACCTTGTAAAACTGTGCGCCGCAGATCATCCACCGCACCAATGGTAGTAACTTGGGTCTACACTGCAGGATATATACTCGTGTCTACATGGATTACATGAAACTATATCGTAAAATACGGCTCGCTCCTCTATATAGATGTGTATATTAAAGTGTGTTGCACATAAATGAGGTCGGTACACCTCGATATATTACTACTCTCTACTGTATTCACCAGTAAACGTCTCTCGAGACTATGATAACGTTTAATAAACTTGACGACTCTGGTATCTTGGTGTATTCTAACCATGCCAGCGAAACAGCCGAGTAGGTACTTAGGAATCACCTATATGACGCCCGTCTTCACGCACTAAACCCCAGACTGAACATACCAATCCGCGACCCTGTGCTCGGTCTCAACAAGCAAAACCCCCCCCCCGCAGTCAGGCAGGGCAGTTCAGCCTGCCTGCCTGACTCCGGGGGGGGGGTGTTGAAGAGTGAATTTTTTTCTTCTCTTTAGATCTTAACGTTTTNCCTGTCTGATGTTGGGCTTGTATTCTGTTGTGGCAATCCTGAGGCACTGTCCAAGATGTGCACTGGAGAGTCTGTTCCTGTCCTGGCTTTTGATAGCATAATGCTATCAAAAGCCAGGACAGGAACAGACTCTCCAGTGCACATCTTGGACAGTGCCTCAGGATTGCCACAACAGAATACAAGCCCAACATCAGACAGGTTGCCTCATCCAGCCGCTCTCACTTCTCTCACTGATTGGTGAGTGAACAACATCAATTTCTTTTTGCAATTTGTCAATTCTATTGTGGTATAATAATTATTAAGACAAAAATAACCATTTTATAGTTATATTTTATATTTACATTCATTTCCTAAATAAAATGCTACGCAGCGTAATTAAAAACAAATTATTAATATGATAGAGAAAAAACCTTGGATAATGCAGGGCTTTTAACAACAGCCCACAAACTGGTTAAATTGAATACAACATTAAAATAATATATTAAAAATAAAGTTAAAAAAACCCAATACTATTTGTTATTTACAGCTTGATATTATTTGGTACACATATTTAAAAATGTAAAAACTAATAATGTGGTGTATTTTGGTACGACATTATAAAAGTAACTAACTGAAACTCTCTCTCTGTCTTCCTGTCTTTCCCAGTGTGTGTGTGTGTTACAGTGTTTGCTGAATTGGATGTGGACCTGTCTGACTATTTGATCAGAGTTCACTCTGTTGTTTTTTTTTGTTTTTTTTTATTGTTATGCCCCATCAGACCACAGCAAAATCATTTGTATTTGTTAAAGCATTTATTTATTATTATTGTTAATAAATGTTTGATTTCGGTCTAATTTTGTTTCAAGGATGCATTTTTCCTTTACTCTCAACACAGGGTTTGTTTAATTACTACTGCCACTACTACAACAATTATAATAGAGGTAACATCTGCACATAGTGTAAACCAATTTTAGTGACACATAACATTTTGGCCCTTAGCTTGTCATGCTTGAAAAAAATTGGCCCTTTGGTAAATATAATTGGGGAACCCTGCAGTAGAGGAACAAAATATAAGCATGAACCTCTTCAACATTTACTGAGCACAATACAGAACATTATTTTTTCCAAACAACTAACTCTACTGACCAAGATGGTTCCAGTTTGACCAAGATGGTTCCAGTTTGACCCAACTGGCGAAAATCAACATTTGTGCTGGCCTTCAAGATGCAAGAACCAACAACTGACTTTTGACTGCCATAAAGTCAGACATTTTAGAAAAAATTGTCATAAATTCGTTACAGCTCACAATAAGTTGAACAATGTGTCTCTACAGGTATTTGTTCAAAGTAATGGACCCATTCTTCCCTGATAATGAAGTCAGAGGATCTCCAAAGTTATTCCAATACAACCTGAAGGGGACATGATTGTCTGGAACAAATATCATAGCAATCCATCAATGGATGCTGAAAAATGTCACTCATAACCACAAATGTCAAACTCATGGTGGGGGAAAAGCCAAGGGATCACTAAAGTGAGTAGGATCCATCGACTGGGAACCATAAATGTCTGCACTAAAGTCTTGGGTCCTGCTGCACTCCATGCAACAATAGGTCTCCATCTGACATTGGGTTTTTTCATTATTGATAGGATGGTACAGTTGTTATTGTCACAGAACTCTTATATAACTTATATAATAACATGCTGCTGGGAAATCTGAGAAAAGCGCAGTGAAACATAGTGGAAAGTAGATCAATATGACCACATCACACTGTGACAGCAGTAAAGTGTACACATTAACAACAATAATTATATAACTGTCATGGGCAGCATCACAGGTCATTTGATGGTGGATGCAGTATTGCAGGCTGGTGGACAGTGTATTTATCTAAGATGTTTAAACGCTATGCAGCACTGAGTGGAAATCGCTTGATTTTGAGGACTACAGAGACCAAAGCATAGGCTCTCTTTAGTCCTTTGGATGGAAGATGTATTTCACTCGAATTGATTAACCAAGCTCTTGTTACCATTGCTGATTGTAACTGTGTTCAAGGCTCATTTAGCCTTAATGAAGCATTTCAATGTTCAGATGCCTGATTGATCCCTGCAGTTCATAACACGTACACTCAGCGAATAAGAACACAGAGATGCTTCCGGATGTCTCTGTTAGTATTCTTCTTTCATGTACGATGCTTTTATGTAGATTTTGAATGTAAAAGATTCAAAGCCGCAAAATTGTATTTAGAAAATACAGAGTTAGAAGCCACGATTCTTGTTTCTGGTCTTGCCTTTAAAATGTTCGGTACATTATGAAAGATTCTAAAGAGTGGGAAATGGCAACCGTCTTCAACAAATTCAGTTAACAGGGTAACATTTATAACTCATTTGCAGCAAGTTCTCCCACATTTGCGAACGATCAACTATTATTTGTTTGTTAGTTAGAGAAATATGTAACATTTGCTAAGTTAAACTGTGTAAAGAAGTAAAATGTTTGGTTATGGGGAACTCCATGACTTTCTTTTGACTTCCATTCCAATACAGTTCAGAGGGAATTTGTCATTGTTTTTCCTCTGCATTTATTTGACAGTTACAAACTACTGTTTCCAACCTTAAAAGTCTTGTGAACTTTTACAAGTGTTTACTAGTTTATCAGCAGTATAAAGGTCACCCGTAAAAAACCAACAGTGTGATGTTTTCAATAACCAATGATCACTCTTGTTTGGCTTATAACATTTGAAATGAAAGACACTAAAGTCTGTCCTTATCACCTCTCAGACGTCTATGAATTACAATTAGTGACAGAAATGCAAAGATTACAGTTCCAAATATAGACATACATAAACATATGTAAATATATGTGCAGAGTTGTGATGCAGAATCCTATTATTTCCTCACCCTTCCAACACACTTAAATTAACTTATCGGACCCCCTCGATCGAGAGCCATTGACTCACTGTATATAAAGCAGTTATATAATGTCATGTTTAAAGATACACCATTCGCAGAACTGAGAACTTGTGATATTTTCATTTAACAGAGTATTGAAGTGGGATTATAAATGACGGACTTTTTTTGCAGTCTTTAATCGGTTACATTTATTTTGCTGCTGTTTTCTAACTAAATGCATACCTTTTGGTAACGTTATAACCAGCAAAACCTGTTGTATAACTTCAGTATACTCCTCTTTTTGATTCATCCAGATGGATCTCAGAGGAATGGGAGCATTGCACCAAAACCTGCGGCAGCCTGGGCTTCCAGATCCGGACGGTCCGCTGTGTGCAGCTCCTCCACGAGGGCACCAACCGCTCCGTCCACAGCAAGTACTGCAGCGGGGAGAAGCCGGAGAGCCGGAGGCCCTGCAACAGGGTCTCCTGTCCGGCCCAGTGGAGGACCGGAGCCTGGTCAGAGGTGCAGTATGCATATGATTATTTTAAAGGTCCCCGATTATGCAAAAGGAACTTTTTAATTTCTTTAATACTTAAATATGTGTCCCCGGTGTGTAAGGAGACTCACAAAGATTCCGTACCCAAATCTCTAAAAATGGGGGTACAACAGAGCTGACCCAGAATCAGCACTTTTGTAACACGGCTGAAATAGAGGGGTGTGAGGCATGGCTACAATGGGTGATCTGTTTGGTATTTTGAGCTAAACACTTCAGATACATGTTTTGTATAGATATGGCCTTATAATATATTGTGGTGAGCTTTAAATAGGGATGTCCCGATCACCTTTCTTTGCTCCCGATCCGATTCCGATCATTTGATTTTGACAATTTGCCGATACCGATTTTTCCCGATCCGATCTTTATATAATGCATTAAGAGAAAAAAAAGAAAAAAAGCATTCAAGTTGTCCCTTAAGGTTATTTTTTATTAAATTGGATATTCTATCCAACATGGATATAGCTTACTTTTTTTCACTAGCAGCATTGGATCAGTTCAGTTGTGCTGCATTGGATCAAAACAAAATAAAGCTTATCAGTACTCGTTAGCTTACTGCTACAATTAGACACTGCGCCCTGCCCACTCTTTTGCCAGATTTGAGAGAAATAATCAACCAGGTCTATGAAAACAAGCCCCAAAGAAGCAACACATACATGATGTTGTGTAATTTGAAACCAAAACTAAGGCCTCAGGATGACTTTAAGACTTGAACATGGTCATTTTTGTTTTGTAACATTGAATTAAAAAAAATAAAAAAGTATAAAAAAATAAAAGATCCCGATCCCCGATTTTTTTCTCCTGATTCCGATCTTTTGAAAATCACGTAATCGGCTCCGATCCCCGATCACGTGATCGGATCGGGACATCTCTAGCTTTAAAGGAGAACATCTCTTATGACTTTATAGCATAGGGTTTGATTTGTGCAGCCGTTCACATCTCTGGAAACTGAACGCTGTTATTCTGTAGTCTGGGTTTGTATAAATTAGCTACAACCTAATTTATCATCAATCTGTCGGATTGATTTCGTTTTTAATGACTAATACATTTTTTGGTGTATTTGTGTTGATGCAGTAGCAGCTTGGCTGATAATGACAGGTCATTCTAAAGTTAAAAAATGAAGCATGATGCGTATGATATTTAATTTAAAGCAATGTCACATCTCATCTGGAAACATGCAGATTTATAGCAGATTTATAGCAGTTTATAGCATTGATAGCAGCAGATTTGTGTGGGTTCAGATCTTTTTTTCTTTTTTTAAATCATGGTTTGTCCCCATATTGGGAGAGAGCTCTTTATATGCATGCATTTAATTACTGTATGCACTGAGCTAGAAGTATTGTAAATATAATTATGTTTGATTGTATTTTTATTTATCTATGAGTTACAATTAGATGCTTGTGAAATCAGTCAATAATCACAAAGACTAATTTGGGCTACAGCTGTGAGGAATAAACAGACTAATTGTGTCCCTGACATTTTGATTCACCCACAGTTGGTGACCACAGCAGGAAATTAGTCTAAAAACAGCCACATTACTAATAAAAAACAAAAACAACAGCCAGTCAAGGTCATATCAAAAGAAATATCAACCAAAGCTGGTTTCATGCTGCCTTGCTTTCATCTTTCCAACGATCACCCGCTAAGATTCAGCTGATGGTTTACACAGTACTAAATGCCTGCTTTATTTAAAGTGGTAATTCTTAACGTTTCAATGTTTGATTGGCAACTAATTACTAATAGCAACAGCAAAAGCTGCGAGTAGCAAAACAAACTATTATTGTTTTAAAAAATGCGGGGAAACATTTTCAAGCTTACTGACAAACCTTACATTTCTATGATTAGATCCTAAAACATCAACTTTAACCGGTTAAATGCATTTAATGTGAAGCTGCAGCAGTAAGAAATGTTTGCATATTTTCTGGCAATGTTGCCAAGTCACCCAAATTATAAAACTGCTTATGAATATATGATATATTTAAGCAATAGCTCACGACAGGCCGTGGTATATGCTCATTATATCACAGCTAAGGGGCGTGGTTCGGCCCGACGTGAAGCTAAGTTTAATATATTTTTTAAACAATTTTAAACAGCAAAATATGGATCGGCATTTGCTAAATTGTAACTCTAAATATCAGAATAAGCTGAGAAATATGACATTGGTGCATCCCTCAAAATGCAATACAAATTAGGGTCTCTATTCCAATTTGATCTTTCGCCAAATGTATAGGAAAATAATCAAAGTAAAGTTGAGCTTCCCCTTGCTTCTTACACAAACTCTTCAGCCAAGTTCGGATAAACCATCCAGACACAGGAACCTGCTGTGTAAAGTAAATATGTTGCAAAGTGAAAACAACCCACAGCAGTGAGAGCTTCCTGTTATCCAGGACACAAACTGTGTTGCTGATAAGTGATAGATTGTATTTCCTGCAGATTCACCTGTGAAAACCAGATTGAAGAGGGGGATAGAGGAAATGTGTCCATGCTGATATTTTCTGCCGGCTCAGCTGGCAGTGGCGAATTAAGTTTGTACTCTAGATGGATATTGAACTTCGAGTGGGCTTGTTACCCAGCCAGTTATCCTAACATTTACTTCTGCCTCAACTAGAAAAGTGGAGTCCTTTTGCTGCAATGTCTCTGAGTGTGTTTGCAATCTTCCACAGTGCTCTGTGACCTGTGGTGAGGGGTTGGAGAGGCGTCTGGTCTCTTGCCGGATCGGAGATCAATGTAACGGAGAAAGACCTGAAAATGTGAGAACATGCAGACCAGGACTCTGCCACGGTAAGCATGTTTTTCATAAAAAACTAAAGGAAAACAAATACCTACTCCAGACAAACCCCCACAACACTATTTCAATGTTATGGTTCAACATTTAAGCACCTTTTGCGTTCTTAAATAACAAATCCTTCCAGCAAGTCCTCAAAAGTCCTCAAAAATAATCTACATTTCATTTCCTTCCTAAAGCTATTTTGTGTCACAACCTTCCAGGCAGCCGTTGGTACCCGATAACAAGTAATGCAATTTATGTCAATGAACTTTAAGTGTGTATTTATTTATTTTAATGTGCCATTATTGTCGGGTGGTAAATGCAGTTTTGAAAAATGTCTGCCCTTCACCCCACAACACTAACAAAACTGCTGAATTGATCAACTCTAGCAGGTTTAAAGAGTCAAATATTTATAGTAGAGATGAATAGAAAAACTGCTGCCTGGAAGAAAGGAACATAACACTTAAAAACAGCCTGGTTTGCAGAATAGTGATTATTACAATACATACTTGTAGTGAGTGGACTTAAATGGTCTTTTTCTATATTAGGATCCCCGATAGCACTAGCATGAACATTGGCTATTCGTCCTGGGGGCCTACACAGTCAAACACAAATGTCCACACTAGCCACACAAACACAACACACTTAGACACAAAACATGTAAAATGTAAACTACTCATTATGTAGATTGGCCCATTTCAGAATAATATAAATGATATGTTTTTATTATAATTATTGGTCATTAAAGTGTTATCAAAGCTGGTAAAGGTGCAGCTAGTTTTAATGACTGTATACTGCAGCTTGTGAATTAGCTCCAGGTTTGACTAAAGTCTTAATTAAGGGTTCATTGTATTTCACACCATTAATCCAAATCTGTTAAGTAACTAAAGGTATTAAATAAATGTAGTGGAGTAAAAGTACAGTACTTGAGTAAATGTACTTAGTTCCTTCCCACCTCTGGTGAGGACATTTATGTCAGCTTGGTAAATTGTTGATGTTGGACTTAAGCAAACACACACAGGAATCCTAAAATGGAATTAAATATGGCAATTTGCTTTCAGTGCAACTTGGGTTACTGTTTAGTAAAAATAATGTCCGTATTTTCAAACCTATGAAAATCACTTTTTAAAACTCTTTCCTGTAAACATCCATTGCCTGGTGGATTTTCAGCAGAGATAAAGGTATAAACCGGGATGAAGATACAAATAACGCAGGCTCCTTCAAACGTGGTGTGTTCAGATTATTTTTTGATAAAACCCCCTCTCCCTTACTTAGTATCCTGTAGTATTTGTAAGCGCATAAACATATAAAGGTATATAATGAAACGGGGGACAGCTAAAAAGAAGATTGAGTGAGAAAAGGTCAGGAAGATGTTTCAATATGCTCACTAAAAACATGTTCATAGTTTACAGTTTTTGAATAAAAAAGCAAAATATCATCCACTGGGTATTAATCCTTTGCTGCAAAATGAAAGTAAGAGTATCTTTGTGTTTTTATGTCTGCAAAAAAGTTTACCTCAGACGCTCCCTTGAGGGAATAATGAAGTCTTTCAATTTTTCAAAGTACTCTCCAAGATATTCTCTGAGCTCTTTCGGCAATGTTTTTAATTTCATTGAATATTTGATGCGGTAAATATCTCCTCTACTTCTTTTGTGTTTTGCATTCATACAGCAGTGTCCGATTTGTGCCTCTAACTCAGTCAGCTTTACATTTGAATTAGCCTTAAAATCAAACAACAATAAATGATTTTAGTAATCCCCTACCAGTTGATTGCGGATAATAAGCCATCATTACAGGTGATAAAATGTCTTCATTTTATCCAGACCGTTAGAAAAGTCTTTAAGGATTCTGGAAATATCTTACAAAGCCAATAACCATGTAAGTAACAGCATCAGGTATTTATTTTGTGTATACTTAATTAAGTGTAACCCCTTAATCAGTGCAAAGGTCAAAAAAGCTTTACTAAAATACAAAATTAAATAAAAAAAGACGATACAACAGTTAGAAGAACAAACAATGTAACATTATGTGAAAGCAAGATTTGTATGCCTTTTATATAATAAAGTAGGTCTTGGTGCTGTATGAATACTGTGAACATATTGAAACCCTAAACATTTTTCAAGCTTAAAAATACACCTGTTTGTCACCCAACATTGAACCTGAAATGGAGCACACCCTCATTCTGATCACTAATGTATGGTGGTGTGTATCTGAGAGGCAGCTGCTGTGAATCAGACTTCATTGGAATGAGCATCATACTGTTGATGAAATGTTCTACGGTTTTGTCATGGCCTAAACACTTATCTGTCAGACTCTCATAGTTGAAAACAATGAATAAGGGATCTGTAATGCACCCACTTACTCTCAGCCTGTTTGATCTCTTTCCATGGCCATCTCTCACAGCTTCTCGGGGCAGTGTGAAGTGCTCTGTGCTCACACTGTTTGCTTTATGCTTCCTTCAGATGAGCCATGTAATGGAGACAAATCCATCTTCTGCCAAATGGAGGTCCTAGCACGCTACTGCTCTATTCCAGGCTACAACAAACTGTGCTGCGACTCGTGCACCAGACGCGGTGGAGCTCTGTTCCCGGAAGCGGCTGAGACGGAGGATCATGTCCGCTTCGGCTCAGCCTCCCAGCTGCTGGATACATTAACAGCCTCTGCAGCGGCCAACGGCACTCGGCGAGGAAAACAAGGACCAGGCAAGGGATCCAGCGCCTCAGTCAATGCTGTGAAACACGCCCCTGCCCCACTTAAGAAAACCCTGTTGAAGATCGCTACCACAGCACGGCGGGTACCACCACACATGGCTCACACTGGCAGGAAGCTGCCCGCTATGGCACCATCTCCCCTGGCTGATTCCACACAGGGTCAAAGGTCGGGCAGCGTGACAGATAGCGGGTGGCCTACAGCGTATTCTGAAGTGGAGAGATGAAAGAAACGCCCCTTTCCCGTCAGGACTTTCAATAATGTACTGCAGATTATCCAGCTTCAACCTGAGTCTTCTCACGCCAAAAACACCAGAGAGAAACGCAGAGAAAGAAAGAAAAAGTGCTGGTTCACTTTGTTGTTAAGAATTTCCATTCCTTTATGCCCCTCGTATTGACTTTTAATATATAATCTTCCAGGTAGCTCCCAGAGTATATTATTACTTAAATTGAGTTTCTTTGATTTCATTCATTTAATTGAGAGGAGTAAATAATACAATAAAATCCAATTAAAGGGGCCGCAAGGGAAATGTCATCCCATGTGAAAAGATCAAGGAAACAAAGTGTTGGTAGTTAATAGTGAATAATTTCAGGGATACAAAATAGCCAAAGGATATATTATTATTCATTTAATTTACTCCAGACTAACAGTATATATAACAAAGAAATTGTGGTTTAGTTCCAATTGAACCCTTTTACCCATCGGAGTATTGAAGCTTTTATTTAAAGTCAGGTGAAAGGTATGGGCGAAGGTGTACATATTCCCCCTCTGGTTGCTCTTTTTTCTGGTCATTTAATGAATCAGGGCCCCTGTGTCTGCAGAGCCTCGCAGCCTCCAGAAAACCTTCAGCAGACAGTAGAGAGAAAATGTCAATAGGTGCAATAATTACAGCTGATTCAATTTGTGAAGATGTATGCACACTGCAGAAAGACAACTCAGTACAGGAATAAAACAGAAATACATGTTGCACTTGTTACAAAAAACAACACGGCTCGAGTGCAAATTGTTACATTCACCATTTTGTTATTCCTAAAGTTGATCCCAGATACTTTTTGTTTGATTAACATTGCATTACAGCAAGTTTCGACTAATTAAACACCAGCATTTGAAATCTATGATCTCTCACCTTGGATGGGAGGTTTTATTTGCTATGAATTAATCTAACAAATGACATGTATTGTAATTTAAAGTTGCAGTTGATGGAAACAGAGATGTAAAACGGAAACAGAGATGTAAAACGGTAATTCTGATGCAGCTGAAAATGTACTTGAACGTTACAAACTACCAATTTCTTGCCAAAAAATGTAAGTGTGAAGCTTGACTTACGGAGAACCCACATGTCCTAGTATGTGAGAAGTCACTGCATTTTATAAAATTAAACACTAGTCTTTATATGGCCACAAATGCAAAGTGGCACAACCATTGGAAATGGTTGAAGTTGTATAGATTTTTTTTTATATAGATCCAGCAATGTCAGTTAAATGGAGCTCTACAGTTTCTATTGAAATGGGTATTTATAAAGGATGCTGTAAATACTGTGTATGAAAATATCAGTATTATTTTTAAGAAGCTGAGGACACTTTCAAAAAACATTTTAATCAATTATAAAAGCATTTATGTTACAGCAACAGTGTTACAAGGACATACACAACTATTTTACCCTGTATGTGAATGCCAAGTTCTCTGGGGTGAATGTTTCTATGACAATAGTTCAACAAAACTCTTAGCTTAGCTTATTTTTAGCTTAGCCTAACAATTGGAAGCATGGGGAAACAGCTAGTTCTGCTTCAAAACGTCTAAAGCTCAATTTTGACATGTCCTATCTTTGCTTAATTAATCAGAAAAAGTGTAGAAAACAAACCAAAAGGATTTTGGTTAACATTGAGCCAGGCTGTTTTCTATTTGTTTCTCGTCTTTGCTAGGCTAAACTAAGCTAATCATCTTCTGGCTGCCAGTTCATCTTAACTGTGCAGACCCAAGTGTGGTATGAACTTCTCCTCTTATTTTTGGTGAGAAAGCAAATAACAACATTTCTGAGAATATCAAATGTTTCCATCCATCCCGGATTTTACCTTTTCTCTAAATTAGAAGTGTGTTTACTGCTAGCCATTGACCCTTTTCGACTCTCTGTTTTGCCCTCCTTGTGAAAGTGTGTGCCCAGACATACGTATCAAAGAAGGGAACATATTTAACAAATGTTCTCAATAATGTATGTTCAATACAGCAGTGTCTTGTTCAGCCAGAACAGATTGAAAATGGAGGCAAAAAAACAACACCATGCAACTGAGAAGATGGGACAATGGAAAAGCAAACACACAACTTGAAATTGATAATTGGTTCTGGCTTTTTTTGGATTATTTTATACAATGACATAAACTGTTGATTTTGTATTCCCTTAAAGCTACATTAAGCGTGTTTTGACCACTAGGGGGCATAAAGCCTCCCAAACAAACTACCAGTTAGCATATGTACACATCCAGTAGAGAGTTAGCTTGATTAGCAACACATTGAAACATCTTTGTTCACCTGATGAATTAAAATCCAAAACTCACTCTTCAGTACTTGCTCTGTTTTGGTCTCGACCAACTCCCAAGTGAAATCTGCTTCTTGACCGATTTTTCACGTTTGGTGCTAACAAACACATATTTTTTTTTACCTGGGAGTTGTTAAAGAACTATCATTCTATAAACCGTGGGGGCTGCAAGTCTTCATTCTCAGCTGTTTCATGTCTTTACATACATGACACAATCATTTGATACATTTTTATTTTATTTAATATTTAAAAAAACGTGCTTAATGGAGCTTTAAGATCGTCACAACCAATTAGTCAAAACAAGGTTTATTTCACATGTTGTGTTTGAATGAACAAAGCCTCATTGTAAGCACAATACGCTAAAAATGTTTTTGCTGTATGTGGAACATGCCCCCCCTCCCCCCTCCCCCAACTTATTTACAGAATGGCTTTTTTATGGTGAAAAATGGTTCAGGAGAGAGGAAGCTATTTATTTAAAAAGAAAAAAAAGGATTTCTTTACAACCACAATGCATCTGACTGCAATAGCAAAGACACAGTTGTGTTTTCAGCAAATGAACAACTATTCACACTCACTCCTGTGTGCCAATGTGTAGTACATGTATATAGCATTCAGTACGTAGGTATTTATTTAAAGTAAAAGGGCTCTGCTTTGTTTTTACAATATGTGCAGTGCCGGCAGGTCAATAAGCTGCAGCAGATAAACCATTGAATCACTTCTAATGACAATTTTTCATCTGCATTTTCATGGATTTCAACTTTTTTTTTAAACATGATGGTATATAAATTACATTGTTTTTTACAAACAATTAGATGTAAATATACATGCTCAATTTTGAGATGTTTTACTTGTTGTCAGAAAGCTGTCTTTTCACAGCTGTTTTGTTGAAGTTGTTAACAGAGCTGTTACATCACAGCAACATGTACTGACCAGACAAATGCTTTATTTTAACCAATAAAACATTAATAGTGTAGTACCAGTAACCAAGTCTTTTGTATGCTGTAACTGTTTGTAGTTGTCAGTATTGTCTAACCATTTGACATTTTGCCCCCTTGTTCTTTTGATTGCTGCCTATACAACATTGCTGCTAATGTTACGCAGAGCTTGTAATGATAAATAGTTGTAGATGTTACATTGACAATCCCTGACCCTCAGACAGATATTACTGCATAGGATTCTCCATGTACTGTAACGATAGCCCCTGTGCTACCTGTGCATTGAAGCCTACGATTGTCATGAATGTCAGTCACTCTCTGCTCTATTTGCTTTTCTCTGTATTTGTGTAGATTGAAGTGTACACTACTGATGCTGTTTGTTGTATTGGGGAGCACATAGCAATAAAAGACATGATTAACTTCTCTGATTGCTTGCTGTCAGGATTTCTACATCACCATTTCTGCATCAGTGAGGACCAGTACTGAAGTTTTTGAGAAACTAATCTTGTAAATCAGTCATTTATGATCATTTAAAATTACAATTATATCAATGAATGTATGTCATCTTCTGCCTAGGGATCTTTTTATCCAAACAATCACAATTTATAATTTGGTGGCGTTGTGAAGTAGTGTGGGATCATGGGGGAGGATGTCTTCAACACCATTTCTGTCTGATTCTCCTGGTTAGGGTTTCTTCAGTTTCATATTCCAGCAGGACTTTACCAAGAGCCAAATTATCTGCAGCAATCTCGTCCTACAAAACAAACACACATTGTGAGCAACCCCGTTAAAACATTGGATGAAGCAGTTACAAATGTGTGATTATGCAGCAGATACAACTTGCTTCTCTGATTACTTAAGATTCGGATGATTTTAGCGGAGGCCAAATTATCCGCAGCAGTCTGATCCTCTTCAAAACAAACGTTTACTGTGAGTTAAACTGTTAAAAACACTGAATAAAGAAGTTTCATGTCAAGAATCTGTCTTGTTTAAATAGGACAGGATGGAGGGGCTTGGAGATAAGGGCTACATTTTAAAGCTTCTTCATAATTTAAGATACAGACTTCCAATCACTACATCAGGTTCAAATAGAAAACTCCCTGACAATGTACAATTGTCATAGAAATGTGACTTAAAACATAACATAACATACAGTACACGTACATAACATTTAACGTTACATAAATATATGTTTTATCAGTAGTCCTTAGAGATATTCGATTCATTTATTGTGACAGACTCTAAAGTAACACACTGTTTCGTCTGAAAAGGCATTATAGCACTTGGTTGCAAGCTAAAACCTAATTTCCTGTTGAACTATAAACAGTTGGGCCCGGATAATTGATTTCTGGGAAAATGAATTAAAAGATCTATAGTCATTACAGTTTTTCTCGATTGCTAACACACTAAAATTATACATAAAGCACAATTATTTTAACTGACACTCAAAAAGAGAAAAACATCGGCTCAAATCTCCAAAACTCTAAACACGTTTTCAGCTTTTCACACAATTTGCAAATCAACATGGCACTTTTTGCAAACCACTGCACACGTTTCTCCACGTAAGACACNACACACACACACACACACACACACACACACACACACACACACACACACACACACACACACACACACACACACACACACACACACACACACACACACTTTACCCCTCTGTGGTGCATGTGTTTGTAATAATGAGCCGTGCATGTGAGGAGTAAATACCGCATGGTGGTATTCACTATTCAATGGAGAACAGGAGATCATCACACATGTACGCAAGCATTGTACTTTTCGAGGTACTTGTATAGTACTTGAGTATTTCCATGTTATGCTACTTTACACTTCTATTCCACTACATTTAAAAGAGAGATACTTTATTTTTATGTATTTACCGGTTTTAACTACTTAAACAAAACGCATGTCTAACAATTAAACAAATGGACTAACTCTTTGAGTCACACAAAGAATCTAATTATTTAAATATGTTACAAAAAGTCAGAACTTTGGTAAACAGTAAAACGCTAATTGATGCAAAACAATATTATCTAGAAATGTCACACATCAATTTAATTTTAAACACACATGAAGGCAATTTTTCTGCACAATGATTACTTTAAACTTTTAAACTTCAAGTAGCTGATAATACCTTTTTGCTTCTGCATAACTCAAAGTCAACGTTATTGTCAATCTTTCAGTTTGTGTGTACAGACAGAGAGATCAAAATACAGTTTCCCACAATCCTGAATACATCAATACAAATATATATATAAAAATATGTATATCCTATATACACAATCAACAGACACATGTATACATATGCACACATTAAGACATAAATAAAAGCACAACAATCAATAGGCCTATATACAACATAACAGTTACTTTAATACTTTTAATGCAGGGCTGTTACTTGGATTAAAGTGTTTTCACAATAATGTATTGGTACTTTTACTCAAGTAAGGCATGTGAACACTTCTTCCCCCTCTGACCATCATACAGAGATGAATATACAGTAATCCTTCCCTCCTGCAGCAGTATTTGCGTGAGTCTTCGCCCTCGTCTTCCTCCCGTTACCTGCCTGTGTCGAATCACTTACACGCGGCGTGCTCGTTGGCGCACTGCATCATGGGAAAGCCGCCCAGCCACGCTCCGCCGCCGACCTTCACTTCGATTGGTGGTGACACCTGGCAAACTCTCCGGCGTTTTCACGTATGGGAGAACACCGACATGCAACTTCCTGCTGCGGTTTGGGCCGCTCCCCAAAACCTCTTTCCATTACCTCCCGTGCCACACAGATGTTTGGGTAGATTTCGCGCTGTAACTCCTGAAGCTCTGCCTTCAGTGGCCTTGTTGTGCTGAATGCTGTCTGTTTGGCTGGACGAATGGATTTACACAAGTGTTTATTTGAGATCAGATTGCCATCGGTCTGAAGCTATGGAGCCTTTGTGAGCTCACGCAGTGGATGCAGACACTGTGGATCTGTGTGGAGGTCATGCCTATATCTGCAATGAGGGCATTTATAATGCACAGGAAATAAAACAGTCCAGGTTTACTGGAGTTAATTTGAGAGCACATGAATGTACAGTAGCATGCAGTATGTGTAAAAATATATGATATTACAGCGAGAAATACGGTCCAATCACATTTCATTTCATTTTTATTTGTCCTGCTCATGGTACGCAAAACCAAATGTACAATAATTGCCACAGAACATGACTCTACCATCGAGCGAAAAGGAGCAGGGAGAAGAATCAAATCTTATGTGACCCGCCCCTTTCTAAAAAAATAAAAATAAATACAAATAGATGATATTCATAATAATATTTTTTTCTTTTTTTCACAGCCAAACATAACAGTATCTTAGGATACTAAGAGAAACACACAAAAAAAAACTTATTTCCCACTTGACGGTTAACGGAAAGAAACAAAACAAAACCAAAACATCACATGTATAAGGAAAAGAGAAAGAAAAGTGCAACACCCTCATCTGAGTCCTACTGGAGAAGAAGGTGGAAAGCGACGGGACCCGCAAATACAGAAGAGACATCACATCAAAGACATCAAAAACATGAAGGACCTGAGTACAAAGACTTATTCACATTCTGCTTCATAAAGTCCCATCTTTCTTAATTTACAACTTATTTAACTGAAAAATACAAATTCTTTAGATCCTTTTGTTGAGAATTCCACACCAACCACCGAAATACACATTTGTTTAAGAGTAACATAACTTTCTTCACGGTAAAGTTGCAATAAATCCAAAGATATTGAAGGGACTGTTATTTTGTGTATATTGATTGTTGTGCTTTTATTTATATATGTATACATGTGTGTGTTGATTGTGTATATATAGGTATATACATATTTGTATACATATTTGTATGTATTTGTGTATTCAGGATTTGGAAATGGTATTTCGAACTCTCTGTCTGTACACACAAACTGAAAGATTGACAATAAAGTTGACTTTGAATCCTCAAAAGAGATAATGGAAGAAGTATTTTCTGCCGTCCTGATTCGACCAATTTATTTCATTCAAACAGTATAATGTGTTATTTTACAAATCGTTGTAAACGGACGCCATCTCCGTACGATTGCGTCCTTTATTTCTCGATGTTGGACGTTTTTTTACAGGAGAGAAGCGGTGTATTACAGGTTGACCGATGCCCTCCTGTCGGATCCAATGCTACAACACTTGCTCGGCTGAAGAAGCCTCCATGCTCGACTGTTTTCCTTTTGACCTGCGGTTTCAGAATCTATGGAAATTGATGAAAATGGCGCTCTGACTATTTATATGGTGAAATGATCGAGTGTGTTCATGGTTTGCAGTTGATTTTTCTTAAAAGCCTTTATTTGTTCAGGAAAGGTTTGGTGGACATGCACGCTCTGTCTCTGCGTGACTCATGCTCTCTTTCACTGGTTAATGGATGTGGAGGGTGAATGTTCGAGGACACCCACTTTGATGACAAATCTTTACCCTAATGTTGGGATCAGGACAAACCAATAATTGGTAAGAAACAACAGTTCTTGTATGTGAAGGCTTTGGTCTCCATGCAGCTATGTGTAGAGAGAGGTCTATGGGAGAATGGGCTGTGCACAAACAAGCCAACGTAAGCTTTTAAAACCATCAAAGAAAATAAGAGAAAGGTTCTCCAATAATGAAAACCGATAACGAATTTAAAAGCTCGACAAGTAATATTATGAAATTAGTAATATCATGTATTTTGAAAAGTGCTGCTCAGACGCCTAATCCAACAATTTAAATCTTATGCAAATCCTACACTTGTTTTAACGCTGTTATTTGTTATCACTGACTTCTCACCTGCTTCATATGTTCAGATACTTTTTTAATGCTGACAGTTTCTTTTTTTTTTATTCTATGGATGTTTACTTAATTTTTTTTTTTTTTTTTTTTTTTCAGTTATAAAATAAACAGACATTGCTCCAGATAACAGAAAAAACAACTAAACAAAACATAACGGGGGGGGATGCAAGGATGACTTCCTAAGACAGCTGATTGTGATCGGATGTTTACTTAATTGATTTTTATTGACATGTGCTAGCTCTTTTTTTATCTAGTCTTTTTTCTGGACTGTCTCTTTGCCGTAATACTTTACATTTCCCCAATATGGGACGAGTACAGGATTTGTGACATATTTGGATTCTGAGGTAGCATAAACTCTTGGTGTACATTCTGTAAAATATCATGGGTATGGTTAGAAAAAAGGATCAATAAGAGAAGAAGTTTCAGTCACCGTCTAAGTACTGGAGGCTGTTCACTTTTTTTTCACGGCTAGGGAATTGCATACTCGTTCAATTGTACTTATAGGTTAGGGTTAGAACTCTTACTGTCAATAGCCTATGAACTGTGTATCAGATCAACAATGATGTTATTATTTAAGGGGAAACGATCTGAT